GTACACCCAATGCAGGAGCTGCCCCCTGATGGTCAGTGGGCTCTCACAAGGGGAGCATCGCTCAGCCAGAAGCTGGGCTCACGGCTGGCGAACGCAATGGCGGCTCCACAGCAGCGTTAAGGATCCCCCAAGAGGTCCCGGACTGCAAGAGGGCACAGGCCAGGTTGAGGGAGCCCCCCCCCCCCCCCCCCCCAGGCACCTAGAAAGTTCCTGCTCACCTCCTCTGGGAGGCTTTTCCAACTGAGGCAGGCAATGGGGGACTGTGTCTTCCTTGTCCCTTGGGGTGGAACTAGGCACCGTGGGGGGATTTCTGGGGCCCCTCATCTTATCACCTCCCCATGGGCTCCTGGAAGGCAGGGATCCTGGTGTGCATGACACTGAGGTGCTAGAAGTAGGACCAAGGACTGAGGTTGGAGCTGGTGTATAAGGGCACTCATGCCCAGCGTCCCCAGCGCATGTATGCACGCACCAGCTGAGCAGGCACAGGGCTAGTGGTCACTGCCACTGCCTCTTCACTCCGGTCCTCCTGTCCCCCTATCCTGTTGCTGGTTGGCAGGGCTAGTGTCCGGTATTTCTTTATGCTGTGGCCCTGCCAGCGCTGCCGCACTTAGGAGTCCAAACGTGTGTCTGCGTGTGGAAGTTCAGACCAGCAGCGCCTCCAGAGCGAGGGGAACGTTCTCCGGTGACTCAGCAAGCTTGGGCTCTGCCATTTCTGTGGGAGCGGTGCTGGGACAGTGATGAATCACTTGCTTGCCTCTTGATTTGCGTCAATCAAACCACATGTGAAGAAAGCAGCAGTGAGTGAGGCTTTGCTGGCAGCCTGGCGTCCAGTGCGGGGACACTCGCCAGGGACAGCCACAGAGGGCCGGCCGCTCACCCCGGTGGTCCAGGCTGCAGGCTTCCGCCTGCTTCGCCCCCGCCATCCCTGCCATTCCCGCCAAGCCGCAGTGGTAATTATGGCTCTCTCTCTCTCTCTCTCTCTCTCTCTCTCTCTCTCGTTCTCTCGCTCTCTCTGCCGGCTTCCTCCACTCTGTCCTGGGCGAGGGACCCTTTCAGTCACGGGAGTGTTTGCAGCTGTCTCCTCTGACCTTTCACAGAATTGTCCTAGGACATGGCTCTTTGAAAAGGTTCCTTGTAAGACAGATTCCCTTGTAAGACAGACTCATTGAAAAGGCGTGTCACTGCTCCCTGCCCCCATGATAGCCCAGAGACCTGATAGGAAGGACATTTCCAGAGTGGGATGGGCAGGCCTGGGGAGGTTGCCTGTGACACAGTTTGTTCAAGCAGTTGCCTCAGAGACTGTGAGCCTTTCCCTGGTCAAGGTGTATCCTCCATGTGGTCCCAGGAGCCGTGCCAGAGGAATCCCAGAGATTCCTGTGGCATCACTAGTTGAGTGTTTGCTTTGTTTGAAGTAGGCAAGTTAAGTTTTTATTTTTAAAGTAACTTTATGATATTATTGTAGTTTAAATTGTAGCTGATATCCTAGTTACTTGGCTAATGACAGCTATGGTTACATCCTTAGGAGGACATTGCCCTCACCTTCCCAATGTCATCTTCTCTCTTTTCTTTGCCCTGGAAACAAGGCAGAATTCCAGGGCACTTTGGCAGAGATCGGAATTGTGTGTAGGTGCAGCTGCTCTAGGGGATCAGAGAAACTTAGTGCGGGTGAAGTTTTCCGAAGTGTCTCTCTGAGTAGCTTGTGGCCTTCCAGAACTGCAAGCAACCTGCAGACAGCCAGTAAACACCAACAGACTAGCCACCACATGGACAGAGTAACCCTAGAGTTCAAATCCAGCCTTGTCATGAGGTAGCTTTCCATTTTTTATTATAAAAGATTTCTAACACAAAAGCAAAAGAAGACAGAATCAGGAATGACCAGGTGGCCATCCTCAATTTCAGCCACACCCAACCAGGGCCAGTCTGGGCCTTCTTCCTCACTGGTGTGCACGTGAT